CATGAAATTAATACTAATTAAATTAATGAAATATTGATAATGAATAGCTTTAAAAAAAATGATCTATTTATTTCTTTGCTGAATAATTTGTTATTTTAATTAGTTGTTATCATCATAACAATAAATAGATACATTCATTTTTGTTCCTCAGTGATTATTATGTAGAGCATTTAGACAGAGAAGTCTATTACAACTCAAGCCTTTTATTGGTAGACAGCTAGAAATAATTCATCTATTTATAACTCAGCCTAGTATCTCTTTTTCTACTTTACTTTGTATATTTGTACAGAAAATATACTTTATTTTACTAGTATTGATTAGTATTTCCGATGAACAATGATGGATGATATTGGAATGGATTTCAAACAACAAGTGCAAGCACAATGTTTCCTTAAAACAAATACGTCCTCATTCTTTGCTCCACTTTACAATGTAATTAACACAACATAGTTAACATAATGCAATAAGATAATTGATAAGGATATTCATATTACAAATTCAATATTTTTGTACTCCTTTTAACAATATAATAATAACTAATTTAAGGCTATTCATGAGTAATTATTAGAAATTGATCTAAATATTATACTACGGACCTATTAAACCGATATTTTATTAGAAGAAATAATTAACAAATTCATAAGACTTACGCTACATTATGTATTATTTGCAGAAATTACACATAGATTTCAAACGGCTAGAAGAGAAGTACGACAATTGTTACTTCAATACTTGTTACCCTGGTTGCATAACATGGAATTAGTGGATCCAAATGTACCACCACCCTCCAATCCCTTGAGCTATTATCAGGTAAAGTTTATAGATTATTTATTACATATAAAAATAATTTTATTTTTATTTATCATCGATTTAAAGCTAATTTTGTAGCATTGTAATCAAAACAAGTGAAATGATAACAATGTTATGATGAAAGTTATTGGTTTGTATTCTTCAACATACATAGAAAAAAAGGATTCCATTTTTTTTTAAAAAATAATTGGAGGCGCCGGGCATCGATCCCGGTACCTCTCGCATGCTAAGCGAGCGCTCTACCATTTGAGCTACGCCCCCCTTCGATCTGGTTTAATTCATATATCACTGCAGTGTAACAATGTGATCCAGTTTCAGTGAAAGGATCAAAAAAAGGTTCTGGAGGCGCCGGGTATCGATCCCGGTACCTCTCGCATGCTAAGCGAGCGCTCTACCATCTGAGCTACGCCCCCTGTGGTTATTTTCTTGAGAAAAATCATTTTTAAATCAAAAAAAGAAAAAAGAAAGAAAGAATTAGATAAAAAGTTAGGATTCAGTAGTATAATATAGGAAATGTTAGACATCATATCTTGAGTGCGGCTAACTTATGCTAGTCTTATACTACTTACTAGTTGGGGTATTGCTAATAAGTTGTTTATTCAATTTAAAATATTATACGGGTAATACACTTTGTATGATTTATATCAAACAAAGATTATTTATAAACAGCTTAAACATTATTTGTATAATTTTATAATTTTATAATTTTAATAGAATTCATGAAAAATTTATAATATACCAGATACATTATACTAGAAATATTTTCAATTTTAAACACAAACATATTTAGACATTATTTAAAAAAATATATATGTTAGATAAAATAAATATGTTAGAACTTAAAAATAATTACAATGATTAGTAATATAATCTAATAGCAGTGACATTTATAAGTGACAAAATATAAGTGTTTGTTGCAAGTTTTTTACTTCAAAAAGATTAAAGAATCTTAGCAATTTAAAAAAAATAGATCATCCTTGGAAGTGCCGGGTATCGATCCCGATACCTCTCTCGCATGCTAAGCGAGCGCTGTACCATTGAAGCCATGCCCCCTTCGAATTCACATATCATTACAATATTACAATATGATCCAATTATGAAAAGATTAAAAAATAAAATTTTGGGGACATCGATCCCAGATTGTTCGCATGCTTTACCATCTGAGTTACGCCTTGTTTGATTTTATTAATTTTCTATATTATTTTTCAATATCAAAGTGCTTCACTTTTGGTGAAAGCATAAAAAATAGTCTGAAGTGCCAGGCATCAATCTCACATTCAAAGTGTATGTTCTATTGTATGAACTGTCTTCTTTTGCTTTCATTTATTTCCTTTATTATTTTGCAATAATAGTAAGATTTATTTTTGATAAAATAATGGAAAAAAAAAA